GCACACTCTTAGTGTCAGCCTCTTTGCAAATTGGAAAATAAAAAAATGGAATTAAAGTCAAACTTTAAAAGAAGAGGTAATTACAATTCAAGGGAGGAGGCCAGTAGAAGCATGGATGCTTTTTGGAAATGTTTGAGTCATTGTTCAAAGGATGAGCCAGCAAATTACTAAAAAACGACTATAAAGTAGATCATCTAATCTTAAACTTCTTTCAAGTGCAAACCTTCAAAGACTTAAACTGATTGTCAAACACTTACCCAGCTGCACTTGCCATGGTTTAAATACTATGGTGGCAATCATATGACATTTCGGTTTCTGAAGTTCTGCAACAAATGAAAGGAGAAATAAATATAGTTATCTTACCTGACAACCACAATGACAGTTACTCTGTTAGCAAGAGACCAACCATTGCCAAGTTATAATTTTTGAAGCTGAAGTTCAATTTCCATTTCATAAACGATGATTCCAGTTTTTGTATGAGTAAGAAGTACAAGTAAAATTATCAAAAAGTTGAGCAAAAAAATTGCAATTTCAGAATTCATTAGATAAGAGGCAGAATATCTCTTGTAACCAAAATTTTACTAAGTTAACTTTTATTGCTGATAACTTTGATGATTATAGACCTTACTATCTGATAAAGTCTGTTAAGTTTTGCTACATTACAGCAGTGGAGTAAACAAAAAATAATGTCATAGCCACAATAATTTACATTAAAATTTTCATGTGAACATTCACAACACCAAAATTAATAGCTTTGGGAGAGGTTTGAGCAGTTCCAAAATAGTCCTAAAATTTTTGTCATTTGACTCTGTTGTGCTAGCTCACAAGAGAAGTGCAGTTGATTTTAAGCACTTGGTGACTGCCCTATATCCAATTTCAGTCGTGCTAGCTCAATCAACGTTTTTAACAGCTTCTGAAAAAGTGTGCTGAATATTAGGTTGTTGTTGCCTTGTTTTGATCTCATGCGAGGAAGGAGATTTCAGCAGCCATTAGTGCCTTCCACTCCAAGGTTAACTTGTATGTTAAGAAGGCATTCAAATCTGGGTTCTTACTGAGTGATTACATTGGAATATTTGGAGTGTCAGTTGGGTTCTTGTTGCAATAATTCAGTGTCAACCAATCAACGGAAGCTTGTATCAATAAGAAGAGGTTCAAGAAATTGAATCCTGCTTGATTGGACTTAGCATTGGAAACATGCTGTTAACAATGCTGTTAGAAGGAAGTGCTCTTTAGGAACTGATTGAACCCTGTTCATGCTGTATTGATTGCAGGACTGACAAATTCAATTTCAGATGCAGAGCTTGAGGTTAGGATAAATTATAACTAAATAGGCTGAATTATGTACTTGAAGACTTCAATTTGCAACAAAGTTAAGCTCTTTTATGATTCATAATTGAGCATTCCCCTTCCCCTTTCAATTACATTAATTTTGTGAACAGAGAAGTACTGGATTGTTCAGCTAGAGTGGGGGTCATAGGAAAGGACTTGGGCTTGCAATTGCCATGCAATTAATTCATTGCTGTACAACAACTGCTTTGTTGCAGATTGTAACAGTCAGTGAATGGTGTGGGGTAATTGATCTGGGAATGATAATATAACTAATATACAAAGAATGAGATATATTGATAAAAATTGAAAGTTGTTGATACGGTGAATGTTGATGTAGCTGTTCATTGATAAATTGATGTATACATCATGTTGCTGTGATTATGTAAGATAATCATATTTGATGTGAATTGTATGTTAAAAAATAGATTAAAAAATGGGGTATGATTTAAAAGTGATGTGATATTATTATAACATACAAAGAATGAGATATCTAGATAAACAAGGAATGTTGTCAATACAATGAATGCTGATATAGTTGTTCATTGATGACTTGATGCATACATTATGAATATGTAAGTTAGTTTTTTGTTTTGTTGATTGTATGTCAAACAATAAACCCAGATAAAATGAGATTCTTTCTAGTGTAATTTACTCTGTTAGTGGAAAATCGATCGTTTCAATAACTCAACAAAACCCAGTAAAGGCATGAGATTCTTCTCAATAGAATATTCAGACCTCAGATGAGCACAAACACTTTATCAGCAAGAATGCTTTTGAATGTGATTCTTCACACAAGCAATTAGTCAATCTCTGGAGAAGAATGATCAATTTAAAAACAAACATTCATTCCTGGGTGAAGGACAGAAATTATCATGAGGAGACTCAGAAATTGACAATCTTCTCAACCAAATATTGTGTCTTCAAGGAAGAGCAATAATTCTTCTAAGAAGCTTGCTTGAAAAATGAGATTCTGCTTAAATGGATATCATCTTGGGAAGAGAGTAGTAATTTCTTAAAAGAATGTCTCATAAACTGGTTCTTGACAAAATAATTTTGTTCTTGTGGGAAAAAAAACTAGTATTCTTCTGACAAGAATCAGACATACATGAGATTCTTCTCATAAGAATTCTTAACCTTGGGAGAAGACCCACAGTTCTTTCCTGAAATGGATATCATCTTGGGAGGACAATTAACAAGTTCTTGGCAAAAGTATTTTGTTCTTGTGGGAAAAACCATTATTCCTCTAAAAAGAATCATACATACACAAGATTCTTCTTATATGAATTCTTAACCTTGGGAGAAGACCCACAGTTTTTTCCTCAAGAGCCAGATCTCTTCTCCTCAGAATTATAATTCTTCTCTGGGGACGAAGAATCTGAAATGATAAATGCTTCTCTGAAGAGACATGAATCTTTCAGAGAGAATTTAATTGTTAAAAAGAATTGAACTTAAGAGTGATTTAGAGTGTCATTCGAATGAAGTTACTCCTGACCACTGAGCAACATTGATATACACCAGAGCTGAGTTGGAATATCTCTATTTTGGCCCTAAAAACTATCAAAATGAGATTAACTATCAGGATAATCCGCTTTTAAAAGAAGAACATTGTTCAAGGAGCCTGCTAGTTCTTATCTCACTCAAGATCTGGCAAACGAGTGCTCTCCTTCCGGGTTTTTTGTGTCTTGCAATTAGATCGAGACCACGCAAAGTATAGAATCTACAACTTACCATAAGAAGCATCCAACTTTGTCAAAAGCTGTGCGTTAGATTAACCACAAAAGAGCAAAATTTTACGGAATGGCATCTCTATGCCTAAGTGAAAACAATATTACAAGGGAGTGGAAAGCTAAGAGTGTCATGTGACCATAGAGCGAGCGGACATGGAAGCGGCTGAGGAGTCGTGTAGAGGGCTAGGGACTACTTGGTTTCAGTTAGTCCACTGGGAACTCAGCATGGATAACCCGCTGACCGTGTGAACTCAGGAGCTCTAAATAGACATTTTACAGTTCCCGGCGCCATATTGGATTAGTAACCGCGCACACACGATAACGAGGCTGGTGTTGACCCGGCGGTTATTTCAAACAGTTGATCTGCTGACATTTCACGATCTAATGCACTTTTCAATGCGATTTCTCCCTTCAAGAGTTCTTTAACACAACAATATGAAAATTTCGTCATTAGATGATATCCAGAAACTCGAAGCAAAAGATCTCAAGGAGATTTTAAAATCTAATTTAAAATCGACGGGCTGAATTAGAGCCGACTTAGTGTTGAAAGTTTATGCTTTGCTGATGTGACACGTTCTTCCATCGAGTAATGGAGAAAATGGAGAACTTCTTACAGATGTCCAGGACCTAGAACAAAACCAGAGCGACTTCAGATACGAAGTAACTATGGTAAGGATTTCAGCCCTTGGATGGGTGAGCAATCTCCGTGATTTACCTGAGATTAATTTCAGTCAGATTTACGATTACCCCGTTGTTTCACGAGCAATATCGCCACATCGTGTTGAGAGGAACGCATTACAGGAAGTACCACAGAAGCTGTTCAGTATGGCTTAGAAAGCGAGGCAAAGGCTGCAGCCCTCTAGATAGAGGAGATTTGTTATTGCTACTGTTGTTGATGTGGTACTTGTTGTTGTACCATATTCTTCAGCTAAATTTGTTCACATTTTGTTCACCAAGATGTCTTTTAGTTTGCCATTTGTACATTTTATCTTATGGGAAACTATACAATAGAGCCTGTAGAACCACTTGATTATAACCCTTGTTTCTATCAACCCATGAGGAAAACTGTAACTAACAGATGTCATAATATTTTCATACCCATCTGGCCCAGGACAACTTATGCTCGTGATACACTGAAAACCATTTCAGTTCACAACTCATGGTAATTTATTAAGTGGCAAGACACCATTGAAAGAATCAGACCAAAATATTAGACAAGTTAAAAACTCACAGAAGTGAGTGATTCATGTAACTTCTCCAAACACTATCCAGCTAACAGATAATGTTAATACTGAAACTTATCAGGCAGAAGTTATCTTGATCTTACATCAAATTCTCATAACTTATTTACAAGTAAATGTGTAGCAACTAGAAGGGAGAATTGACAATCAGATCTTGGGTATTTAAGGGTTAAAGTAAGAGAACAGAAATGCTTCCTCTCAGCTACTGATCTCAACAATGCTAGTCCTTTACACATTTAAGTTTCTGTCGGTAATAAACATTCAGTAAATTGATATTCCCATTCTTAGCACTCAGAGGCCTTCTGACACAAAGGTTTGCTATACTAGTTCTTATTGCATTGTGTTAACCAATGTTATGATATAATTTTGAGATGTAAAGAAGATACTTAAAAGATTAAGAAATATATTCAAAGCAAGATATTTATTTTAACCTGTTATAGTTACCATAAGATTTGTTTCAAAGAGAATCTTTCAGACCATTGAAATGTATGAGAAATTATTTTTTGTGAGACTTCTATCAAACTTTTTATTATAAGGACAATTTTGTGAATAATAAAATTTAGTGTCATAGTTCATCTTTGTGCCGAGAACTCTTTTAGTTGGTGAAACTCAGTTTTTCTTTTTTTCAGTTTGAAGCATCAAATTGATTGATACATAAAGCACACAAAATATTTTTTGAGAGTTCCATGTGGCATCCATAGTGGATTACTATGCTATTATAAAAAACAGAAACAATATCTACTGAAAACTACTTTTGTCAAAAATTGCTACCAAATTTGATTCAGTTTTCTGGGTCTGCCATAATAAGTGAAAACTCTGAAGATACAGTGTCTTGGTTATTTTATTGAAAGCAATTACTTTCCAAGAGTTTCTGCTAGAAGCGTTTTAGGCAAGCCATGTAGTAAACAGGTGATCAGCACTGAACTTCTTTACTTGCTGCCGAAATAAAAAAAACTATACTGAACTTAAAACAATTCAGGTACCTACTAAAAAATTTGTATTAATTTTGCAACAATAGTTACCCTCATCCATAATTCACAGAGAATAAGAAAAGGATAGAACGATAAATACTTAGCAAAAATACATGCCTCCGTGCATAAACTTGAAGTGAAAGCTTGTTAGTAGGCAAACCATTGGGGCCATAAAATGTATTTGAACAACCAAAAGCGACACACTGTTTTCCTTTCTTTTTGGGAGAAAAATTAGCTTTATCGAGATTTCGGCTAGGACCATCCATTTTCCTTAAAAATCGAACAATTTTACTGCCCACGTACGAATTTCACCAAAAGCGCTCACAGAGATTTTAACGCGAGTCAATCCTAGCCTCGTTCTCATGTGTGCGCGGTTGCATTTCCAATATAGCTGGGAACTGTAAAAAGGTCTATTAACAGTAAATTTACACACAAAGAAACACTGAAAATTTCCTTGAAAAGTATTCTCATATCGTCGTGGTATACTGCGACTGATTATCACGTCTAAAATGTTGTTAATTTTCGCTTTTGAATACAATTGGTGCTACATGATTTTGATCATTTATATATAATGTAGACGCACATAAGCGAAGAACGCACGCGCCTCTATCATGTCATAAAACTAGATCTGTAGCAATGCTCAGAAGAAGACCATTTATTTAGGAAAATAAAGCAATGTTGCAATTTTTCGTGAATATAGTTTTTCTTTTTTTTCTTTTTTAAGAATTTGATCAAGTGACCGTCAGTGTTGTTGGTGGCTTGTTTCGTACTGTAGCTATCAGAGCCCCAGGCTTCCTCTTCTTCTGTTGTCTTCCGCTGGCCGTTAAGTGCATGCGCCGTTCAGTTTGCATCTTAGCATTGTAATAAGGTACAGAATCAGGATGTTCCATCAATAATTCTAACTGAAGTCGATCAAACTTCTCTTGTTCATCCTCGGGAACTTGCCCTTCTCGACCACCCTTCGGTTCATCGTCGGCTCCGAGGAACGATTCGGAATACCAATTGTCAAACTCGGTAACGAGACGATGTCTGCATTGATTGACCAGCTTCTCGCAGTAGGTAACTTCGGATTTTGTGTTGAGCAGATCTTCATAGTCACGCCGATAGCGCAACTTTAGATCTTTTGCTTTACAAACAAGTTCGTATTCGTCTTCATCAATAATGACTTGACCATCGTCTGTTCGAAATTCCCCTTGCTCTAGTCGGTTTTGCTTACGAGTTTCCAACACTTCTTTGGTGTCGTTGATTTCTTCCATAAGACTGTTGACTGACGAGGACAGTTCCTTAGCCTTTTTCTTTTTCTCTCGCAAAATTTCTGCAACGAATAAGCAATTATTAGATACTTGTAATTCGATGTAGCACATTCAGAGAACGATAATTTATCCTGAAGCCTCTACGAGATTCACCTTGGAAGTTGATTGGCAGTAAACTAACAATTTTTTCCAGTCCCCCCTTTATACTTTCTCAGCGACGACTGCGGACCCCCCTCCCTCCTTGACAACTGAAAACCACGTGATCCCCCCAAAATCCCTCGGCTCCCCGCCCCTCCAAGCTTAAACCGCTAAAAATAAGGAAGATACTGAAGCAGAAGTGCAAGCTAAGGTATGTGTTCTGTTTTGGACTTGACGTACTACCCTAATGATTTTCTTCTTTGCTTCAGGGTTTTCTTACTGATTCTCCGGTTTTCTTCCCACTATGAATACCAATGATCCAAAATCAACAATTCGACCTGGAATCAGTGAACGAGCAGCCACTTTCTGGATGTGACAATGTTCAAAATTCATCGCAATTAAAGTCAAACCACTTGAATTTCACTTAGAATTTCCCAATTCTGATACATCAAAAATACCCCTTACCTTTATTTTGATTGAGAATCCTGTTAATTTCACTGCCTCTTTCCTGTTTGAATTCCTCAAAAGCCTCGCTTTTGGGTGGAGGCGTGGCCATGCGCTGCGTGGGAGACTGAGCTGAAGGTGACTGCCCCCGATCTTGTCCATCGCTTCCGGCTTGACCCTCCATTTGCCCTCCACTACCCGGGGCAAGAGACTTAGCACTGTCTCTCTCTTTAGCTTTTCCCCGACTCTTTACCTTCCTGGTGCTTACCAAGGTTGCAACATTTGGTTTTACACCAGGGGGAACAACACCTACACCAAATCCTCGGCCGTCGACTTCTCCAACCAATCCGCTGTCATCACCCCGGACGGTGCCTTGTTTATCTGCCGCGGCTACAAAGTAAATACAAATGTTTGGTTTTTTTTTTACTGTACAGATGTCACGTGAAAAACCCTAATTTCTCTCGAAAAGATATGTTACTCTTTGCTGAAATATGGATAATAGCGGTCAACTTGAACAAGCTCTTTGGAAGTCATCCGATATGAGTTCCTTCCTGAAAATTTCAGCCTCACGGCTACCGGGAATGCAATTTCAACACAACTATTCTTCCAACCGGGAAACGTAGACTAAGGTAATTTTTTTATTTTTAATTTTTAGAGTAATCGATACGGTCAAACCATACCATAAAAGCTGATAACCAAAAAGTTGGTGGAAGAAGGAATCAGTGCGATCAAGTGAGAGATTATGGGAATGTGCCGCTGGATGCGGTCGCATTTTCATGACTGGATTGACTATAAATGGGTTGTATTGACACAGGAGTTACTAGAATGGGGTCGCACATAATCGAGATTTTGGAGGTCATAAAATTTTGGTAAAAAAAGGGATTTAAAAAATTGGGAATTCGCGGTTATGAAGTTGTTTCATTTGCCCAAATGCGTTTAAGATGGGGTCTACAATTGGCTACAGAATAAACTGTAATGGTGATGGGGTGAGTGGCTCTGACGGGCCAGAGGCACAGCACCCAACAAAAATTGGCCCGAGTACCGCCCTCACCCTCCCTGGCTGTATGATAATAACTCACCGGAAGTTGTTCCATCTCTCTCCTGTAACACGTACTTTTCTCGTAGCTTTTCCTCAACGTCCTCCTTCATCGTGTTCACAATAACTCGGAACTGCGCGAACGTCTCTTTAATTTGCCGAACATTGACGAGTTCAATATCGTTCATTTCACCCGCCAAGAATCGTTTTACTTGCTCGCGGACATCCTGGATTTGAGATTCTGAAAGCGGCTCGTAGGAGATCTGACTGCGGTTTGTCAGTGTGTCGTGCATGGCGAGTTCTTGTCGAAGAGTTCGGATTTCTTTCTCGTGTTGTTTGCAGAGTCTCATCATGTCGAAGTGCTCCGTAACAGCAGGTTCTGATGGCACGTTCATCATTCGACTGCCAAACCGTAACGTGGAAAGCTTTGAGGAAAAAAAAAATCGCTGTCAATTTTTCCTTCCTGAATGTAGATAACTTATGTATGTATGTGTACTTCTTGACCACTCCCTTGCTGGGAGGGGGGTCGTTTCAGGGCCAACACAAACAAACTGGAGAGAAACATTATGAATAAATGCAATGTTTTAAAAAAATCTCAACTAGCAGGAGGCAGACTAATTGGCTAAACACAAAGCGCAGCAAACGATCTGCCACTTAAGATGTATCGACGTTGTAATCTATAAAATGTTTTCATTCCATCTAAACACAGGACGCCTTTGTTTCTTTCTCTTCCTCTCCTTTCTTCGTTAATTTATTTCAGTTTTCTTTTATCTTACTCCTTCGCTGTGAAAAAATAATGAAGGAATATTCCTCACCGTTTCTTCAATGTGAGCAGCCTCTCCCCATACATTTGCAATCAGCAAAGTGTTGCATTTCCCACCAATGGAATCTTTTAACACATGAGTGAGTTTGCTCTGTCTGAATGGGACATGATCTCTCCTTCTGTCTGCCAAGGCTATCACAGCTTGCTCCAAGAAGGTCAGCGATTTGTTGATGTACATGGCTTCCACCTGGGTATCACCTACAGACAGAGTCTTCCCCAGTCGCTCAGATCCGGCCAAGTCCACAAAGTTTAGCTTAGAGGTGACGTACTTCGTGTTGGACTCGACGCGCGAGTGTGACTCGATGTAGATGGTGAACACGCAATGCGAGCGAGATGAACGTTTGTTCAATGCGTGTTGAGCGATAATACGATTAGTTTCGCCCTGAAATAAAAAAAAAGTTGTACGATTATTTACCAATAATTTTTACTTGATATAAAGGTGTTAGTCCTCTTTCAATTCCCTCATTTAGAGGGTGAGTGACTAAACCACCAAATAAAAGAAGGTCTGCATTGGTTACTAGCTATTTTTGATGTTAATGTACTTAAAGAGACTATGACATTGGGTTATTGATAGGTAATGGAAAGGAAACTACTCCCTTGAGTACTAAGAGAGGAATAGTGCCAAAGCAATGGCAACTAATAGTTTTTCTAGTTTTTTAAGCTCTTTAAATCTCACTCGAGTTAATTTTGGGGGTGCCCTTATACATAGTTAAGTCAATTTCTACTCTTGAGATGACGATAGATAAATGTCCGAGGTACATGTACAATCTACAACACACAGACAAACCTGACACAATGCTGTGGTCAGGTTGGAAGTTGGCCCAAGTGTCGGCTCATTGAGAAGGAATGATTTTACAATTTTGTGGCTAGTATCCTAGACTCAAGATTGAGCAATCATGATTCAGTAATGAGGGTTGGTTGCCCTCATAGTCCCTTAGCTGCTAATTTACACCTCGCAGACCCATGGTGCTCCTTCCAACCCTAGACAGAGACTTAACAGGTTCACTTCAGTACATGTATGTCTTTGTGGGAATAAATAATCAATGAGAGGAAGCTTTTCAGTCAATCAATAACATTTAACATTGTAAGTAGAGGAATAAATGTGGAAAAATAAAATGTTTTTAAAGAAGACTGATGCTCTTTTGCATAACACTGTTGACTGTAGTGAAAGTGAAACCTGCCCTTTAAGGTGACAGGAATGATTATTAACATAATTTTTTTATATCATTTTGATTACAATCACCATCATCATCATCATTATCATTATAATAAGTAGTGTGTTCTCATCTAAATATTAATATGTAATCCACATTTTAAGCTGATAGTGTTGCTTTTGAAATGCATAATTTGTATCCTTTTCATTTAGGTTAATTTTGGTTTAATTTTATCAATCAATTCTTTGTTAGTTAATAAGTTCAATATTTCAATCAGTTGCATTTTAAAGCACATGCATTAGATATTGGATTTCATTGCTGCTATCGCATTCAACTTTTACTGAATTATCTGCTATTATTAGGAGCTAGTAAGACCAAAGTACAGGTGACTCTTTCTCTTATGTTTACAATATTTCCCTTTTGAGTTGGTATTATTGGTTTATTTCTTACATTCAGTTCTCTTTATAATCGGTTCATTGTCAGTTAGGTTGGTGTTACATTTCCAAGGATACTTTTCTTAGTTTAGTTTGTGCTGTATTTCTTTTGGTTTAAACCACAAATTTAACAACAACCGTTCAATCCTAACTTTGCAACTTCAATTGCAATTTCACCTTTATCATTTGTATAATTCAATGTGATTTCAAACCAATTTCTTTATTCCAATTTATAATTTTGCTTATCAACTGCATCTAGCTAAACCTTGATTTTTATGGTGTGTTTGGATTGTCTACTTAACAAATAGATTCCAAGTTGCTGTGCATCTGTTCAGTAATTGATCACAGATGATGTCAAAATGTGGTAAGAACAAAAAAGTGGCACACGAGGCGCAGCTGAGTGTGTCATTGATGTTCTTACCACATTTTGACGTCCTCTGTGATTTATTACTGAACAAACACACGGCAACTTGGAATCTATTTGTTTTATACAATAAAGAATTAAAATATGTGGAAAAAAAGTTTTAATGATGATGTCATCTATACGTCTGTCCTCCAATAGATCATAAGTGAGAACCAATCAGAATGCATGTATAACTGAGCTTATTATATAATCTGCTTTATTAGTGACCATTAGAAGATACAGATAGATGGTATCATTAATAGTACTATCTAGGACATGAAGCTACATCCCATAGAGCCATATTAAAGAACTCTGCTATACCCATTCAGCAAGCTTTTTGTAGTGAACCAGAGATTCAAGGAACTCCTACATTGTACCTCCTCAACCCAAGGTATGGAAAGCTTGATTGCTGTTCCAAATATTCCAAACATGACTTAGATGATCAATAATTTCCCACATGTAAAAAAATCAATGAATAAATAAATAATAGTAGTTTTTAGCTTAAGGTCTTAAAAAGGGTCTTTCATGATGATGATGACGGTGACGATAATAATAGTTGCTATTATTATAATTATTAATATTATTGTACTTACTATCACCAGGGTTAGGATAATTACTGAAGCATCATTATTAGTATCATTTCTTATTTTTAACATCACTATTATCGTTGCTTATTATTTCTAACTTATCTTTTAATTTACTTATCCATCCATGCCTTTTTATATTTTTCTTTAAATTCAAATTCCAATTTCGAAAGAGGCTGTGACATCAATATTCAAAAAAAAAAAAAAAAACACAGGATTGCAGAGCTCCCTTCCCAAGTTCAAGTTCTACAACTTACATACATTGTTCGTCCTTTCCAAATCAGCAAACATGCGGTTACATCTTACCTCAAAGAGTAAATTCAAGGCTTCTTCTTCACTATTAGCCTGATGAATGCTGAGCCCTTTGACTCTTGTATATCCATCATCATCCTCTGTGACGGTCATCTGAGAAGGATCTAACAAAGGGGCCCCGGTCAAGGTACTAAGCAAATCAAACATGTGCTCGTTATAGATTTCTAAATATGAGATCCGTACAGTCACAGCGTGCTCAGACCTTTCCCGTATCTCTCTGTAAACCTGTTGAATTGCCCGTGGGATAACTCCACGATGTTGGAATTTCTCCGTCGAACCAGTCATTGTGAAAGTCTTGCCCGCTCCCGTCTGCCCATACGCCAAAATCGTTCCGTTGTAACCGTCTAAGCCCTCGGTAACGATTCTCTTTGCACATTCCTCATAAACATCGCTTTGACTGGCGTTGTGTAAAACGCGATCCAAATTAAAACTCCAGTCAAGTATTTGGTTGTTGATGTAACCACGTCTCAAATCTTTCTGGCAGTGAATATTGATCGATTTTCCATCGGGTAAGAGTTCGATCATTTCCTGCGCGAATCGCGCCGTTGGCCGAATTCTGGCGTAAACTTTGACTCTTCCATTGCCTTCTTGAAGCATTTTGGTCCTGCTATTTTCGACAACCACGCCGAAAACCACAACTAGATACGAACAATACAAATCTTCCTGTTCCCTTGATTGAATCTGTACCTTCTGTTGCTAGGGTAATCGTTCTGAGTTGCTATGCCTTTCGCGCATCTCCTGCGGGAAGGACCGCTGAACTCTTTTAGCAGGCGCGTAAACAAGATGGCGGACGGAGGAAGTCACAGGGTAGGACTGGAGTTACTGGGAAAATGCTCGAAGGAAGAGGCCGAAAAAGTGAGAGAACGAAACAAATTTTTTCAAAAAATTAATATGCAATGAAATTTCATGCGATGCACTTTTCAGCTTTTACTTTTATTATGGGAAATAAACTGTCATGTGTTGTTAAGTTCTACGCTAAATAAAGGTTTTTCTGCGTGATTTGAAGCTCATATCAATCTCCGCCTCACATTTTAAGTCGCAATTTCTTATCAAAGGGTTCTTCTTCTTCCGTGGAGAAGTTTTTTCTAGTGAAAGAAAATGATGAGAAATGATAGCTTTCTTTTTAAGAATGCGAAACTTTAATCAACTTCGGAATTGTTAGTTTTGTGGCCGTTACAAATCTCGATTGCAGCATGTAATCAGTGAGCTTTGATTTCATTATTAAATTGTTGAACCTTTACTTAGATAACACACGAACTGTTGGAAAGTATATGTACTGGGAAGAGCTTGAGATATCAAAACTATGGAAAGATTTGGACAACTGAAGAGTGGAAACTGTTACAACAAAATGGAAAGGAAACTTTAAAAGGATTCACTTCAAGAGGAATGGACAAGGAACAGGTTTGATTTTGTGATTTACAAGTGTTTTTTTTTTATTTTTTATCAAATGATGATTAAAAAATTACAGGTACTAAGTATGTTGTCTGCGCTAAATTTTGCTGTTATTGACAGACAGAAAATAGTCATCTGGGAGGCCACCAGAACTGTATTAGATACAGGGGGTCAGATTCTAAAGAAACTGTGGCATTGCATCAGTGGAGGGTATTACAAGATAATTTGGTTCATAGCCACCACAAAGAGTTCCCGTGGCTGAAATTTTGAGCATTAGCCCTTTGACAGGGCGAACAGCTAAATAATTGAACCTCCAGCTTTGGAAACTCTCTTTGGTGGCCAATTTACATTATTCCATCTGTCTGTGTTTCCATCCATTCCTCTGTCTGTCTCTCCATTTGTCAATAAGTCTGTCAGTCAGTGAGTCAGGTTGTCGGGAAAAAAGTGATTAGTTTAAAGAGAATCAGTGCTGTTGCACGAAGGCAAGAGAAACAGTTAAGCTTAGTTTTTACCAGTAACAGTAAGCACAAGCACAAACACAAGCACAACACAGGCACAACACAGGCACAACAGCTGATACATGTATTTCACCATGAAAACGGCCTAGACCCAAGCATAAACAAAAACACAAGCACAAACACATATTTACTTTATAAGGATATTTAGCTTGTAGGTGCATTTTTAGCTTGTACTTGTGTTGCTCATGAAAACCAGGCTTTAATCCCAGAAGTGAGTTGGTACAGGTCAAGGGAATGATGGACAGAGGCTCCTTCCTTTTACCACGTGTTTGTTGGATGTCAGGAAAAACGATTTTAATTGTGAAAGATAAGAACTATTACATCAGCTTCAACCCTTTAACTCCCAAGATGTGATTGTGAATTCTCCCTTCTTGCTGCTACACATTCCCTTGTAAAATATTTGTGGGAATTTGGTATTAGATCAAGATAACAACTTAATTGCCTGATAAGTTTGAGTTTTCTCATCACCTGTTTGCTGGATGTTGTATGGATATCACAGGGAGAAGTTGTTGCTTCTGGGATTTAACCCTTTAACTCCCAAGATCTGCTTGTTAATTCTCCCTTCTGGCTGCTACATGTTTCCTTGTAAATCAGTTACAATAATTTGGAGTAAGATCATGATAACAACTTCTACTTTATAAGTTTGAGTATTCACATTACCTGCTTGCTGGATAATGTATGGATATTATATGGAGAAGTTACATGTTTATCACTTCGGGGAGTTATTGTTAGTGAGCATTTTTTCAACGGTTATGAATCATGATCTAAAGGACAATTTTCACCCAAGCTCTCTGACTAGTGCAAGTCTCTTTTGTTTGGAAATGGTTTCAATTGTTACTCTGATATTTTTAATGCTTCTGACTTTCATTTTAATGCAATTTTTTACTTTATCACTTTCCAGGTACAATAGGACTCCTGCAAAATTTTCACTTTGTTATATTTTTACATTTATACAGATCTCCAAAGAACTTGACAGATTTTCACTAACTTCTGAGGTTAAACAAGCCATACTCGATTGTGTCTGGCCTCGTCAAGAAGAAGTGAGACAAATGCTAGTGCTTAATGCAACTTCAATATCAAATTCTTACCTAAAAGATTTTGACTGGAAAGTCAAGGTACATGCAACATTTGATTATACATAACAGGAAACTTTTTCTTGATGCCAGTAAAATTTATATCATGAATGACTGTGTAAAATTGAAGTTACAGCAAAAACTAGTTGTGAAAAATGATGTTGAGTAACTGTGTTCTTTACCTCATTGCTCCTGTAACACAACTGTCAAGTTTAAGTGTAATCTTGAGTTATTTGAAAAAAGGAAATATGTAAATAAAAAACTGGCCACTGAGCTAATAAGATTTATTATTTTATAACTAATAGCATTTGAAAATCTACAGCATACTGTTATCAAATACAATGTTGGGTACAATATTGGGATCAATATCAGTATCTGGGCAACTGCCCACCTACCTCTCCCTAACCCAACATTAACATTAACTAGTTGTCAATTGACTGTTGTTGAATTAGGGGAGGGGTAGGTGGGCAGTCACCTAGATACTGATATTGAACCCAATATTAATCTCATTTTGATAATAGAGAAAGGCCAGAGAGAACTGATTGGGAATGAGTCTATGTGTAGTGGTCCAACATGCTGTGGGACTGGCCATGTTATAATTTACAGCTGTAACTCACATTATCAATTTTCAAAGAAAGGCACAGTTTAGTAAGCAAGAATTCAAGCACTGGCTTAGATACTGTATAAAGTAGTACATGTACAAGCAATGCTTGTGAACTTTTACCCCTTTACTTCTGAGATCTCAATGATAATTCTCCTCACTTTAAGTGATGTAATTCTTATTATGTTGGTTCAGAGAATTTGGTATTGGATTAAATCCCCTTATTGATATGTAATATATTTTAATTCTCATCACTTGTCTGCTCAGGTTGTACTGATATTGTTGGGGGAAATTCTATCTTGGTCACTCATGGAAGTTTAACCCTTTCACTCCCACAAGTGACCAAGACAGAATTTCTCCTTACAATATCAATACAATATAAAGCAGGCAGGTGATGAGAATAGAGAAGAATATCAATCATGGGATTATTAGTTGATCCAATACCAAATTCTCTGAACTAACATCATAAGAATTGTATGGCAGATAGTAAGGAGAATTACTAATCAGATCTTGGGAGTGAAAGGGTTAAGAGTTAAACCAATTATGAAAATCAAACCAGTTCCAATAATAATTTGATGGTTCATTTTATTTTGGTCCTATAGATGACAATGTCTAGTGATAAGTTGGCCAGTGTAAAAGAACCCACTGTCACACTGGACTTTGATGTCAATGAGAGTGGGAAAGATAGGAACGTTTCTGTTGAGCTTTCAAAGGAAGAATTAGACAATCTTATATCATCATTAGATGCAGCTAATAAGGTACTGTGATTTAAGTTTTGCTTACATGTACATTAAGAAAATATAGGATTAATTGAGCTTTTTCTCCATCTTAAACATGATCCTGATGTTGTTGCTACAAACCTAATCCAGATGAAGTTGATTGTCAGGAATAAATAAATAATAATGAATAAAATGTAGTATACATTAATTTTCCACAAGAAAGCGTATGGATGCAAGGGACGTAGGGATGATTAGCATCTGATTTCTCTAAATAGTATCACTCCTGAATCAAATATTAAGGTCATGGGTATAAATTAAATGATCACAAGTCCTTAAGAAAGACAAATTCCCTTTGTGCATGTAAGTACCACAGGAAATGTATAGAGAACAGTATGGAGAAATTGTATGCTGATGTTAGGGTGTTAAAGGTTAACAAAACTGTAAGTTTCACTGGTCATTGGCTAATATCCAATTTGTACTCAGTTGTGAGTGGAGTCAGAGCCACTGTAGGAGGGAGGTGGGCTCAGCCCATAAACACAATTGGCTCAATCAGGGCTTTAAAATCCAGATCATAAGCATCGGTCTTAAGTCAGATTCTTAATTTATAGCATGCTAACCATTACCTGATCCTGTCCTCAACCATTCTTGCCATTCAACTGAATCCCTTCACTCCCAAGATCAAAATATCAACTCTCTGCTCTGTACTCCGTACATTACCTATAATTTTGGCCTTGAGAATTTGGCTTCAAACCAAACAACATGTATATCCCCAAATTTATATTTCCTCTCTTCTCATCTTTTTTTTTACTTTAAAAAACTATCAATATTTTAAGGAGAAATTTCTTTTTTGTCAGTGTCCTGGGAGTGAAAGGGTTATATTGCTTTCATGTCAGACTAGATTTAGGGTGAAGGAAATTATTACTTCACTTAATGTTTGAATGTGCTTTCTTTGCATTGTAGGTGGTTATGCAACTGAGGAAATAAGTTTTGAACACATTCTTTTGTCTTGCTCAGGATATTCATTCATACAATGTAGTTTTAAAATTACCAAAAACAAAAAAGAAAAACAACTGTGTACTTGATAGAAAATGGGCATGTGTCTAGTACAGCAAGATGAAGAATCATGTCAAAAGTATTTTTAGAGCCTTATTAAACAAATAAAATTGTTTTTTACATAAACTTATTGAATTCATACGCTGACCATATTTTTTTGTAACCTAAGTGTTCCTTTGAACAGATTGACAAATAGATTCCATGTTGCTGTGTGTCTGTTCAGTAATAGATCACAGGAGCAGATTACAAGGGTCATTAGAATTTGTAAGTGCAAAAAAGGGGCACAAAATGTAGGCAAGTGTGTCACTGATGTTCTTGT